TAATAATAATAATAACTATTTGTAAAGTGCCTTCAAACAAAGCACTGAACAGGAGATAAAATCACAAAACAGATCAAAACAATTAAAAGATAAAATTAAGATAAGTAAGATAGTTTGAACAGGTGCGTCTTTAACTTAGCTATTGTGAGGTCTTGCTGAAGTTGGAGTGTTTGAAATGGTWGGAGGCTCAATTTAAAGGTTTAGATAAATTATGATGCAAAGTCAGATTTATTTTTGATATGTACAGCATTTAACAACTGAAGGTAACATAGTTACTTCATTATGCTACAGAATYGAGTTATGTGCCTGGAAAATTCCTAATCTTCCCCCCCACCCTTAAAAGCAAACACACTGAGTTTTCTGGAGCCGAGTAACATCTAGTAGTCTGACTCACTTAATTTCACTGGAACACAAAGTCTCATCYCATGAAGTAATGAAATAAAAAAGTGGATCTCATTTTAATTTTCAAGAYAAAAATGACTGTGTAACTGTTTAATACGTTTCATTGTTCGTTTAAAGAAAGAAAATCTAACCACAGTCAGTCAGAAGAGAGAGTTTGAAAATGCACAGTATGACATACAAAAAAAATGTTTAATATTATTATTATTATTATTATAGAGTAGGATTGTCAGTGTTGTTGGTGTTTTACTGAATAGGTATAGACCAGTGATTTGTTTTACAGAAATAACTATGCTCATTAAAGTCCATTTCCTTGATGAACAACAGCTCATTTGATTGATTTGCATGTTCAGTMACAGACAGATGTTTAACAGCTATGYGTTTGACAGGCTGCAGATACAGGAGAGTGATTTTTCCGTTGACGACCTGAGCGACTGTTCATCTGGCTCCATAGAAGTCTGCTGTGATGATCTAACAACAGGTTGGTTGAATTTTTATTTTTGGAGTAAACTCGCTGTTTTATTTATTTATTTATTTTCATTCCACCTCTGGCCCAAATACAATCAAGCTCTGTCAGAAACAAGGCTCCAAGAGGCTATGTGCTCTTGTGACGGGTGCAGATAATGGCTGCTGTCCTGCAGCCAGACACATTCAYTGCAGCAGGGTCATAACTGGCGTCAGACTGAACATGGCAGTAGCTGATCTTTGCATCTTGCAGCGGAACCTGAACAAATTCACTGCAAATGAAAGCATAGTCACTCATTGTCCTAACATTATGTTCATCATGCTGCAGCTCAACAGACCCAAGAACYAAATGTGAAGTTTGGCAGTCTCATTCTGATAAGAGAAAGAGGCTGTGTGGGTCAGTACTGGGATGAAACTGGGCTTCCCTCAGCTCGCTGCCGGGCTGGATTACATGTTTGGTAATATCAGCTTCATCCAAGAGATGTCAAGGAGTTGGAACGTTTCCTGTCTCATGCTCTCATCCCCCGCCTCGTGCAATTCTTCCTTTGACCTAAAACCCCCCGCCTCTTTGTCAGGCTTCCATGACTTTTGAGTAATTGTTTGCTCTGTGTTCACAGCCATAGTCATGCAGTGTGAGGGTCATTCTGAGCTCAGGGATGTGGATGTTTTTGAGACATGATTTTATCAGGGGCTTAGTGAATCATTCARTTGGACTGTGGGAGACAAACTGCATCAGTTTAAAGATTTAAAAATGGCAAATAAAAAGAATCCCTCCCAGTTTTTTTTAAACACAGATTGCATGTTCAGTTTATACTGTATATACTGTATACAGTA